GTACCCCCAGAGGCCTCCCAGCACTGCGGCTGCTTCCTCCCTGCCAGTGTTTCTGGCCAGTCCCTCCCTGGTCCTCGAGGACAGACACCACTGGGCCCTCCAGATGCTTTGTCACCGATTGCGGGGCTGCCTGAGCTGATCAGGTGTGCAGGGCACAGCAGCAGCGCCTACAGAGGAATCACCACTCACTCAGGGCTCAGTGGCAAAGGCTGGGTTGAGGACAGACAAGTAAGGATTCGTACTTAGCCCCAAAAGTGGTACAGACTTTTAAGGACATAGAGCAGAAAGAAGGCCGACTGAAGCGTGGGGAAGGAAATTCAGTGTTCAGTAGACAAATGTTGAGACAGCATAGAAGTCCCCAAGGGACCCAAGTCCTGACCCCAGAGGCTGTAAGTGCGCCCCTTATGTGGCACAAGGGACTTTGCAGAGTGATTTGCGAAGGGTCTTGGCTTATCCTGGATGACCTGGTGGCCCAGTGGCATCGCGACATTGCTGTTCGTGAGGGGTGGGCAGGAGTGGCAGGGAAGGGGCGGTGGTGATGGCAGCAGAGGACGGAGCGACCCGAGGAAGGGACCGTGGACCAAGGAGTGCCACCAGCTCTGGAACCGGGGGGCAGGGACACGGGTCCTCCCGGACAGGCCCCAGAAGGAGCGCAGTCCCGCTGACACCGCGATTCAGACTCCTGACCTCCGGAGCTGTAAGGTGACCTGTCTGTGTCACTTCATGCCACCGAGTTTATGGTAATTCGTTTGAGCAGCAATGGAAGAAGAACACAGTCCTTCTGGAAACTGAATTAATCGTGTGGTAGAATCAAGTAGAAGAACTGTGGACACGGACCGTAGCGCCGAGGTCCCTAACCTGACGGCAGGTGTCTGGCAGGAGGGAGAGCAGATGAGGAGGAGTAAGCAAATGACAGATGAAAGCGTCGGCGCGCGCAGAGTGAGGCCAGCGTCTGGGCCACGTGAACGGGAAGTTCAGGGATCCATCCGCATTTATCCGGAGAGTCTCAGATTTCGAGAATGATAATAATGGGAAAAAAAAATCCTAAGTTTTCACATAGGAAAAGTACTCATAAGGAGAAAGATCGTCAAACTTCTGTTTGTAACCTGCTAAGGATTCTCGAATAATATCTTTAAAGCGGGGGGAGATTGCAGTGAAAAAGTCACAGATTTCCAAAGATGTCATATATCTGTTAGGGCAAAAAGAGACACTCATTCGTCCGATTTTGCGTCTGTGTGTTGAGCTCCTGATCGTGGCAGCTTCCAGACGGAAGGAACGATGTGATGCTCTCGAAGCAACGATGCTGAGAACCGGGTCAGCAGAATGCAGCTCGGGGCGGGGCGAGCGGGAAGCGCCGCAGACGCAGTCAGCTCGGAGCGCGGCGGTGCCCCTCGTCGCGGGCGCGTCGCCCCCCGGGCACCGTGTGGGTTATGCCGCTTCCGCTGGAAAAGTGGAAGTCTGAGGCTTGAGAGTGAGACGGTGAGCACTGAGGTGCCCGGTTGACGTCGGGGAAGAGTCACCAGAAAGCCACTAGCCGGGAAGAGAAGCAGGAAGGAGCGGGGAAGGGAACGGGCTGTGGGTGACGTGGAGGGGACCGGCTGCGCCTGGGAGGCAGGATCGGGCCCCTGGAGGTCACTGGAGCGCTGCAACCCCACTCCGGAGTCTGCTCCGTGCGTGAGCTTCTGATGACACGCCATTCTTTCCTTGTTTTTAAGCTGCTTTGCGTTGTTTTTGGCTCGGGGGGGTGGGGGGGTGGGGGGGGAAGTGACCTGGTAGACACACCCCACCTCACAGGCAGGGACACCTAGGCTTCGAGGAGCAGAAAGCTAAAAGGGCGTGGGCGGGGCGGAGCCACAATCAAATTTTGGAATTTAGCCGACCTGAGAAAATTCTGGAAGTAACCAATTTATCAGACAAAGGCAGCCGAATCCTAAGCCATCTGTGCTGCATTTATATCCCAGAATCCCCCAAAGTCTCACAAAGCGGCACCGCGAGGTGGGACCCGGCTGTGAAGCGGTTGCTTCCCGCATCTTTCCCTCAGGCCAGGGTGCCAGCCCCCGTGGGCGGGCGGCAGGGTGGCCCGGGCACAGCGGGGTGTGGCAGTGCTGACTGCGGTCCTGCTGCCTCAGGGAGGGTGGAAGGCTGTCCGACCGACCGCCGGGACAGGAGGGAGAGCCTCAGACTCCTCAGATCGGCAGGTGAAGCTGGGTGACAGTGGGCAATGGCTTGAGAATTCTGAAGGAACGTTCGTTTGACCTAGATGTCTATATTCAGCCGGAGTTTAAGAACCGAGGTAACTGACTCAGACTGGTGCAGCCGCAGAAAAATGACCTCCTCGTCACTGTTTCTTAGCAAGCTCCTGGAGGGCATGGCACTCTAGGGGGCGTGGCCCGAGAGGAAAAGGCACGAGGCATGGCCACAGCGGGGATCGGGACCCGGGGTGACTGTGGCCAGGCGTGGAGAGCAGCTGGTCTGGACTGGGCAGAGCCCCAGGAGACGGGTCCTCGGCAAAGTGAGACGGATGGATGGTGCTGTAACTGACGGGTTTGAAAACCAAGAGAAATAAAGACATTTGGGAGGAAAGTTTGCTCTGAAGTACTGGTAAGTACATAAAAAACTAAGCAGGTGACCACATTCTAATTCTGGAGTGGGAAGAAGGACGTCATGGGGGGACGGGGAGCTAACCACACTTATTACGTGGGTGAGCAGCAGGTGGGGCGCGAAGGGTGATCTCGCCGAAATGATCACCGTGGACACATTGAGAGCAGCGGGTGGCGACCAGGTGTGTGGCTCATGGGGCCTTCGACCCTCATGTTCTGTGGCGGGCAGGCAGCAGTTAACAGTCAAAGCTGGAAGGTCCAGAAACGGTACGGGGAGCGTTTTATTTCGCGGTAGGACACTGAGGGCACCAGCTAAGCGGCTCGGAAGTGTCTGTCTTTGGGGAGGTGCCGTTGGGAGGAACGGAGGCACGACAGCCAACTGTGCCGTGCGCGACGCTGGAGACGATGTGCCCGCTTCCTCTAGATAAGGATAGAACTTTAAAAAGTCACTTAAAATTAGGACAAATAGTACGGAAGGTATAAAATTCCGTTTATGCGCTGTTCCGCGGAGTTGTCCTGAATGCGGGCACTGCTTTACGGACCGTAAGGGACCTGTCGGCCTGGGCTGTTCCGCACGGACTCGTCCTCTTTGCCACAAGCACCTGCGCCCTTTCTTCTCGCCAGGCTTGGCTTAGCTGCTTCCCCGGCTCGGTCAGACCTGTGGAACCGCGCGCGTGTCACCGTCCTCTGCCTCTCCAGCCAAGGAGTGGACAGGAGACCGAGCTGCGCCATTAGGATACTTGCTCCCTGGACTCTTATTGTTGATCGGAGTGACTGGAATGTAGTTGGCACTGAGTCATTCCAGCCGTGACACTGTGCGGAGCTGTCCGTCTGTTCCTGCGACCTGGAGCTCCAGCGGCTGCTGGCTCTCCTTTCCTTACCGGGAAGTTTGCTGCTGCTGTTTCTCTCCCGAACTCCTCTTCTGTTCCGACTAGACGGGCTCGGTCTCGGATGCACATAACCAGTGAACTCTAACTGATCAGCGTTAGACCGCCAGTAAGATTCAGCATATACACACGCACGAGCACACGAGCACACACACGCACACGCACGCACATGCATGCACACACGCGTGCACCTTCGATCCTAGTCTTCCCTTCTTTCTCTCGTATGCGAGCGCGTAAGGCAGGTAAAAACAGAAAGAAGGTAGAGTATAGAGTGCACAAAACGATCTACGTTGAAAAGCGTCACCGACAGAGAGGGTCACGGTGTAACGACAGCAGGTGTGATTCATAAGAAGGTGCAGCAGCCAAAACCTAGATGAAAACACACAGAGGAAAAGCAGTGACAAACACAGATGGAACACAGCGAGAACCCGAGTCGAAGGGCAGCTGCTGCGGAGCTCGGCGGCTAAACCGGAAGGACTGTGGAGACACAAGCCCCTAGGGAAATGGGCAGAACACGCGACTTGGGAACATCCGGGTGACGGATAAACGTGAGAAGATGCTAGCCACATGTGGGGAAACGCATTGTTAAAGGAACAATAAGAAAACTTTTTTTACCCATGAAAATGGCAAAAATACGGGAGTTAATGACACCCAGTGCTAGGGAGGATGTTGAGAAATAGGCGCTTTCAAAAGCTGTTGGTAGAAATTATTACAATAACTTAAGTTGTCGCAGGAAATTAGAATATTTGGGGGGGAAGTCACCTTTAAATATCCCTTAAGACTGTAAATGGGCACACCCTTTAACTCAGCGGTCTGAATTTTGGTAACCTGTCCTGCAGAAATAATGAAACCAGAATGGGCTGATGTGCATACAAAAATGTTAGCATTGTTTGTAGTGGCAGAAATTGAGGAAAACTTGGATATTCATAAATGGAGTAATCTGAATAAAACTGAAATACATCCATACTGTGGAATGTTATCCAGCTATTAGGGACCAGGCACCGCCGGCGCGGGCGTGTCATCGACTAGGAGAACAGGCGGTGGCGTGATGCGTCTGACTCGGCTTGTTCCGATAAAATAGATAGTAAAAGCCACACGTGAGATAAGCGTGTGAGCGTGAGCGTGGATACGAGACTGTGGACGCGCCAGGCAGGCTGTCCGCAGCCGCCGCTCCGGGAAGTGGCGAAGTGGCACTTGGGTCTCTTCTACTTTCTGCAAAAAGAACTTGTTGGTACTTTATCGTTAATAAAAAGTGAATAATAAGTTCAGTAAGAATTTTACCAAAGTAATAACTTTTCTTGGAAACGTGTAGTGTTTAATCAGCAAGAACTTGGAAGTTTTAAGTGGTCAAAAAATGGCCGTACTTCTCTGCGAATCACAGTAGCATTTGTTTTTATTAGTGATCAGGATTTGCAGTGTGCTGTTTTAGATTTTAATTCAATGTGAGAGCTACCTGTTCTATACTGTTAGGGCTTCTGTTGTTACACTCCTAAAATATTTTTGCTTTCAGTAGGACTGTCTTCATCAGTGGAATACAGTACAATGGAGTTGGAACAAGAACTTGAAAACGTAAAGACTCTGAAGACAAAATTAGGTATTGTACATTTTTTCCCTTTTGTATTGGTCTTGGTTTCTTATTAAAGACTTTACTGTAGTCTGAAATATTTTTAAAATTATGCAGCCGTTAGTTTATATTACTTGCTTTCAGTCTGTCCTAAGCCATTGATAGAGACCGTCTTTTAGCTTGGGGAGAGGGTAAGCACGAATTTATTCCCATTTTTTTGTTTTGTGTGTGTCTTGTGGGAACAGCACCATCCTTGGCCCTTCGTAACTGCCAGATACTGCTCCCTCTGATTCTTTGGGGCGGTTCTTCAGCTGGGGTGGTTTCTTCACGTACTGAGCTGGTCATTACCCTGCCGAAGATGCCGGGGGGCCCCTTACGGTCCTCAGAGTTGTTCTCGTGTGTGGCAGCCTCGGCCCTGGCACTTGGTCTGCAGGATCCGGCAGGCTTGGCCCCCCCAGGCTCCCGGTCAGTGTCCTTGGCTCCGGGACTGCGCTGGGCTCCGCATGGGCTCCTCCTCCCCGCCTGTGGCCTGGAGCTCTCGAGGCGGTGAGCTGGGCAGGCCCAGGGCTGCCCCCAGGTCCTTGCCCTTTGGCGATCGGGCGTCCGGGGTCCTGACACTGTTGTTCCGTGTACATTTGTCATTTCCTAATCGTTTCAGGCCGGGTGATGAGTCTGGTCCCTGTTGTGGCTCCCCCTTCGAAGCGCAAGTCCAGTGTCATGTCGGAAATCACACACGCCGTTCGATCATTTTCATAAACATCGTTAGGTGCTTTCTTCATCCTGCTGTCCATGGATAGTTGGTATTTTTCCAGTCTTGTGCTGTCATGGACAGTGCTGCTGTAGACATTCTTCTGCCTCTCCTGGTGCCTACGTTTTTTCCGGGGTTCACCCTGGGAAGGGATTCGAGGGTCTCTGACTTTGTACGGGTGCCTCCGTTTCTGGTGACGCCGCCCTGTCCCCCCGGGGGCTGCTTACTCGCCTTCCCGCTGGGCGCCAGCGAGTCTCCCCGTTGCTCCGCGTCCTTGTCAACGGTCCACAGTGGTCTCTCAGTCTTCACCAGCTTCCGGTGTGACATGGAGTTCTCGGCGTTTCGATCGGCACGTCCCTGATTCGTGTCGCCAGCGTTCATTTAGCTTCTGCTTGAAACCGTCCGTCAGTATTTATTTCGTTTAGTGCTGCTTTGCTGGCAGTGAACTCTCCCAGTTTTTGTTCATCTGAAGATGCGTTTGCTTTGCGTCTCATTTGTAGGGCATTTTTGCAGAATTTGGAATTCTTACCGGGTAGTTTCCAACGCTGTAAAGGTGTCAGTCTGGTGTCTTCCGGTGTCTGCTTAGAGGCCGTGTCACTGTCCCTTGGAAGGGCTTTTAAGGCATTCTTTTTGCCCTCGTGTAGTCAGGCTGTCTCTCCGTGGGGCCCTCGGTGTTGGTTTTGTTGTGCTTGCCCTCCTGACACCTGTGGCACTTGGGGACTGTGGTGTGGCGCCCTCCATCCGGGCAGGGAGCCGCCGGCCGTCATCCCCTGCAGCGCCACCCGCTTGTCCGCTGCGGGGCGCTCGCCGCTCACCCAGCTGCTTTTACGTGTTTTCCTGACTTTATTTACGCGCTTCGGTCTGCGATACTGTCTACTGATCCGTGCCGCTTCCCTGCCTTTTCAGCTGTCGTAACTGTCGCCAAAACTATCTACTGAACTCTTAATTTTAGTTACAGGATTTTTCAGTTCTAGAAATGCCACTTGATTATTTTCCTAGATTCGAATTGTGACCTTTGCCTCTCGCCATTTATCTTATTGGACCTATTAATCAGCCGTCTGAAGACCACTCTCCGAGCAGTCCAGTGCCTGGGTCCGCTGAGAAAAACTCTTTCCGTTGGCCCCGTCTCCTGGGACGGTCCGGCTGACAGCCAGACATTCCTTTGACATAGTTGTGGAAACTGGGGGTGACAGCGTCGTCTTTCGGAGAGGATTTGCTTTGCTTCCAGCGGGCACTTAGAGCAGGGACGTTCGGGTTTAACCCAGGCTTGAGGTCGTTCGAGGCCCGTTTCGGCCTCCCCGAGGGCGGCTCTGTCCCCGGCCGGGCCTCGCTCCTGCCTCCCCCCTCTGTCCTGCCGGGCCGGTGGCGGTGCTGCTGGCCGGGACCGCGGCCTCTGCACGAGCTCGGCTCTGGCTCGGCCTCTGGAGGAGCAGGAGCCCGACAGCTCCGCCTGCTTCTCGCGGCCTCTTGCCCTCCTGCCTCGAACGGAAGGTGGCTACCTCGTCCCTCTTCCCTCTCCTCTGTGGCCGTGGCCTCCCGAGTTCTCGGTGGCTCCAAACTCCAGTGTTTTAGCATTGTTTTCTGCCACCTCCCGACTTGCGCCTGCTTTCCCAGCCTCGCGGCCCGCTCGCGTGGTCCCCGTGAGGACAGCGGCCCAGCCTCGTGGCCCGCGCGCGTGGTCCCCACGAGGACAGCGGCCCCCGTGTGCGTGGCCACGGCTGCAGTCTCCTGCCTGCGTACACAGTTTTAAAAAGCTGGTTTGACTTGTCTTTCCCCGTCGTTTGCGGTGTGAGCTGGGAGGAGGACCCGCAGAGCCGGAAGCGGCGTCCCCCCAGCTCCGTTTGCCTTTGGGGTGTCGGGTCGGTGGGGTTTTTACTGTGCTCACTTTATTCCCTCAACTCTGTATCAAGGTATAAATCAACATCGAATACAAATGTGTCCATATTTTCAGAGTACGCTATATGCTGACAGTTTATTTCATTGAGAGTTGAAATGTTTTTATAGAGCTAACATTTAAACGTCACGAGATTGACCTGTTTAATATAGCAAGTTGATTTTAAAATCTGGTATTTATAGTTGATGGAAGGAAATTAAAAATAATTTGACTTTTTAAAAAAATTATTTACATAAAATTAACACATACTGGTTATTAGTAATAAGGAATGAAAATGTGAGTCTGGAGAGAGCTCGCGGCAATTACTGAACTCTTTTGTTGTGTTGTTTTTCCTTACAATAGAGAGGCGGAAAAAGGCGTCGGCGTGGGAAAGAAACTTGGTGTACCCCGCCGTCATGGTCCTCCTCCTCATCGAGACGGTAAGAACCTATGTGCCTCGTTATACAGAGCAAATCGTTTTATATTTACTTTAACGTTTGCGTACGGCAGCTCCCTCAGCTAACTGATTCCAGGTAAACTGGCTTTCTGTCCGCGAGATTACAACCCATGGGCATGCCTTTATTTGTAAAAACTCGATAGAGCAAAAATAGAAATTCATGGTAATTTTTTAAAGTGCCAAAGATGATTTCTTCACGAAAGCAGGAAATTCATTTTTTTGTGTCACTGAAAATTAAGAGACAAGGTGCTACAGGTACTGGCTTCAGACTATGATGGATGCGAAGGTACATTAGCAGATTAACGTTTTAACCGTCTTTTAAATCTGCGAAGTTGTGGGTTTCCAGTCGGTGAAATCGGTTAGTAAGTGGATCTGTATTATTAGTTTTTTTTTTCCCCCACAAGATTTGTAATAATAATTTCCACAAGATTTATAATAATAATTAGCAGACTGTTTCTTCTGGAGTTTTCGTAGGTCTGATTAGGTTGGGATGTAGAGTCCTTCTGAAGCGTGCAGCCGGTTGGCACGTCGATGTTCTCACGTGTACTGGCAAACTACGTTTGCAGTTCGGGACTGACGGCTTGTTTTTTTGTTGCAGTCCATCTCTGTCCTCTTGGTGGCTTGTAACATCCTTTGCCTGTTGGTTGATGAAACAGCGATGCCAAAGGGAACAAGGGTAAAGTACAGTGTTTTCAAATGTCCTGCTTTTGCAAACGCGTCCCGATGTGCAGCCCGGGCATCCGCGCCCCGCACTGCGCCCTCCGCTCCGCGCTCCCCTCCCCCGTGCAGTGAGCCTCAGGAGCAGCGCTTGGGGCCTGCGAGCTTTGTGTCCGACATCGCGCTTTGGCTTGGCCGGGCCTTGGATCGAGAATCAGTTTCCTTTTGTCCTTTGTATTCGTGTATCTTCGTTTCATTGAAATTTATCATTCGTGAGTCTCGAAGAAAATGCGCACTCCGGGAAAGAGCGACGTGAAGAGTCTCTTAGACGGAGCCCCTGGTTTGCAGAAGACCCGCACGTACGGGTTTAGGGACTCTGCTTCAGGAGTCGCGCGTCTGGTGAAACCGAGTCACAACGCTCAGCTTCCGGAGGAGAGCCTTCGGTTTCACGAGTCAGCTTGGTTTTCACTTGTGTTTAAAATTGACTTAAATTCTGTCAGTTAGCCCATCTGAATCGATTCTCCATAGAAGGTAGTCACCATTAAATGCTCATATTTGGCCTACTTTTCCTAGGAGCCTGTTACGTTTTGGATACTTAAAGTGGCATTTAAGGGTTGACATTTTATTACATTTTTCTAAGTCCGCAGCTTTCCCGTTCCCCACAGAAATGGCTTCACAACTCTTAGACTTTTGATGCCACTTCTCTCAGAATCAGACGATGTATCTTTTCTCTCACAGAAAAAAGCCAGGGTCTGTCTCAGCACCTCCCTCAGTCCGAGACGAAGGTACCCCGTCCTTTCAGCCATGATCTGGATTTAGACCCCTCCCCACCGAAGTCTCTCTCTCAGAGACAAGGGTGCCCCTCGTCCTCCGGGCACAGGGGGGCACCTTCCCGTGGGCGCTTCGTTTCTGCGTTCGAGGGAACAGATGAGGGCCGTGGTATTTTTTATGGACCGGCTGTTTCTCAAGTAACTGATTCAAGATAATCAACATGCCACCTTGGTGTGTTTTGGGTGTCTGCCCTGAGCCCCAGCACCGCCAGGAAGCTTTGTATTAGCCTCATTTGTTTTTTCTTCAAGAGACTGACAAAAAGTTGATAAATTCTTTGTCCTTACCTTATCTATACATGAAATTTCTATTTATACGTGAAATGGCTATTCTTACTTCTTTATGCCTAAATTAGAATGTATATAAAGTATACATAATATTTATTGCTTTTTCCTTAGTGTGACTACATTCTAAATTATCCCGGTGTTTCTGTTAGCTTTAATTGACATTGATAGTAAAGTGGTCATTCATATTCAGATAGTTCCCTTAATTAGTAAGCTTTGAAAATGCTGTTCCTACTTCAATAAGAAATAATGTTTTGCCTGTCTGGTTTCATTAATATTACCTTTTCTACTTGTTTATTTGTTTGTTTAAGTCCTAGATAAAGGTAGGTTTTGAGAACAGATATGAAATTTAGGAAAAAATTTATAGCATTACATTTTAAAAATCCGGGTTCCAAAAGTTATATCTTTTGAAAAGGAAGATTTGGGGAAACGAAACTTTTGTGGGTAGAAAGAGGATACGCATATTCATTTTCCTTCTGTGCTTAGCTTGCTTTTGACATACTTTAATTGTAGAATTTTTATGTGTTGCCTCAGGGTTCAGATAATTATATGTTATTCCTATTGTACTATGATTTTTTAAAAAAATTTCTTCCAAGAGTATTCAGGGTTTCACAGCATAATCATATCCTCTCGATAAGTAACTTAAATTTGAGATAAATCAGAAATGTTTTGAGCTTTTACAAGTTGTTAACGCGGTTGAATTAGTTGACGAACTCAGTAATGTCACATTTTATTGTCCTTTGAAAGTCTAGATGTTATTCTAGGGTATTAAACATCCCTAATTTCAACTCTCTTGTGTTTATGAAACACTAGTTTTAGGGAAGCCCACTATAATAGTGTCGCTGAATTCTGAGAAGTGTTTTTCCCCCGCAGGGGCCGGGCATCGGAAATGCTTCTCTTTCTGCCTTTGGATTTGTGGGAGCCGCACTTGAAATCATTTTGATTTTGTATCCTTTCTTCAGCGGGCCGTTCTGTCTGTTAACAAGTTTTCTGTCTCGTTTTCTGGGACAGTGGCAATTTACTAAGACATTTGCCTAGAAGAAAAAACAAGTCATTCTTCCTCAGGCACTCCAAGTGGCCTTTGGTCTGGTTTTGCATTTCCTTTGGGCCCGAAGACTTTGGGAGGCTCCTGGGGACTTAATGGAACTGACATTCTTTGGAGAGTTTTTTCCTTGATTCTCACAGCTATCTCATGGTGTCCTCTGTCGTCGGTTTCTATAGCCTCCGATTTTTTGGAGACTTTATTCCCAAGAAGGATGACACGACTATGACAAAGGTAAGGGACGTCTCCGGCAACTTCGCCTCCCTTTTTCCTCCAAGACAAACTCCTGACTGTTTCCTTTAGTCATCGCCCTGAACGTTCATCTGTGGCGATAAGTACTTGTTTGTGAGTCGCGTAAACACAAACTGGAAGATTTTCAAAACGCCGAACCAATGGGAAAGGGATGCGCCCTGTTTAATTTGGACGCCGTCCATTCACTTGTAAATGCCCGGGACGGGAGCTTGTTAGCTGCAGGGGCTGCTGAAAGGGCCCTTTTTCCTCTGAAGGAAACGCATTGCTAATGAGTAACTCGGACTGTGCTAACTGCACTTCAGGGAGCTTGTTTGAAATCTGAAGAACTTAGTTGCTACAAGTAGTAGAGACAAAGTTTTTCAAATTCGAATAATTAAAGCAAGACGGAAGAGTTCTATTCAGAAACATTTTGTAGTCGGAGGCTGATTTGACTTTCTACAATATGTCCTTGGCTTTGGAGTGACAAAGGCTGTTATCTTGTGTAGTGACTGCCGCTTTGTGAAGTATTCCCACAGGCTGACAGTGAAGAATAACTAATGAGAGCGTTGGCTTCTTTCCTTTTTATTAGATTTTCGCTATCGTCATCCTGTTTTCAAAGAGAGAAGTTATTTTATATGTTTATCCATCTATCTAAAATGCTGTGACTTTTTGAGAGACTTAGCACGTGGGTTGAGCGATCATAAGTATTAATCTGTTCTCGGCCCCTCTTATTTTTATGAAGGAGGAAGCACAGGGCGCATTGAAAATGGACGACTAGGATTTAGGTGTTGCGGGTTTCTAGCTTTTTGGTAGTAAATCTTATAATGGTTAAACATATTAGACGTAGATCTAATTTATATCTTTCGAGCAGTAGTTAGCTTTAAAAATACAGTCAGAATTACTGAACGTGTCGATTCTTTTTGACTCCCAGGCAAGCTGTTTTGCGACTGGCCACTCAGTCACCCACGTAAAATGGCTGTCTGTCTGGGATGTAACGTGGTTCAGGTGCCACCGCTCTGGACTGGGGCCAGGCACTCCCAGCCGTGACCCTGTTTGCGGGTAGCCGGAGTGCACGGCCACCCCCGGAGGGCGACGCACGCGTGCCGCCGCCGCCACCCTGCCGCGAGACTGCCCAGCGCCTTCTGCTCTCTCCCCACAGATCATCGGCAACTGCGTGTCCATCCTGGTCCTGAGCTCCGCGCTGCCGGTGATGTCCAGGACACTGGGTAGGCGAGGGGCGTCCGCGCTCGGGTCCCGGCCCCTGCACGTGTTTTCTGGTCCTTCCCTTTCCGTGGCTGGGAGCGCGCCCTTTGCAGCGTCCCCGCCACGGCCTTCTCCATGTTCACTCCCGTGGGGCTGTGCCGAACGGGCGCTCGTATTGGGTAAAGGCCATTTGTTTTTTTAAAAATAATTTTGAAAAGCATTTCTTCTCTAACCAATGAATTTTTTTTTTTCACCGATCAGTTAAGCTTTTGAGGCCTCTAGCGAGGAAACCGCGATTTAAAACAAATGTTTAACGATCGGGAAACATGACACTAATTTTTCTTACGTGAAATGTTTTTAGAAACTTAAAATTTAGTTTGTGGTTTACAAAATTGATAATCTGTAAAACTTATGTTGAGTTTTTCTTGTCCGTGAGATGGACTTGAAGCAGTGAGGTCTGCGAGAGCTCGGGGCGCAAAGGGCCTTCGCTTCTCTAGGATTCGACCTGCCGGCCGTTCACGAAGGTTTCTCGGTGTTTCAGTTTACAGAGAATTTTGCTCTTCTTTTAAAAGCAAAGCGGTTTTCCTGTGTCGTGGGGCCAGTCGAGTGACTCCTCATCTGGCCTTCTCGGCCCCCACGAAGCACCGCTGTGCCGCGCGCCCAGTTCTCGGCTCAACGTTCTCGCAGACAGTTCTGTTCCATTTTCTAGACGTAGGTTTTGACTTCAGAGAGTCCACAGATGATTAGAAAAATCCCATCGCTCAAGCCCAGCACCTTGCTTAGAACAGGAATTACCAGTAGCTCTGAGTTGCTGTCGTTTGGTTCTTACATCGCCTCCGTTATTTATTCAGGACTCGTGGCCGTTAGGGACCCGGCTGTGCCAAGACAGCGTGCGCTTTATACTCACCTTTCCGACGGTGGGAGGAGCCCCACGATTTAACACAAGGCGAAATCGAAGTACAGGTGTCAAGGGGCCGCCCTTCCTCGGACGAACACAAAGCGCGTCGCTTTCTTACTCCTTTTGCGTTTGCCTTATAGGACCTGTTAGTGTTTTGACATCTGCTTACGTTGGGCTAATCTTGAAAATACCAAAAATAGGCACTTTAGTAGCTTGATTTGTGGGGAAATGTTATCGTATGTATTATGGCAGTCCAACAAATAATTTCTGCGATGTTACAGCCACCCTGTGATTTTGTCATTTATGAAACTCATCTACTGTACTCTGTTATTTAAGATTAATTGTTAACAGTAACGCATGCTGATTTTGTGGAAGAAAATCACAGGCTGTGTATAGTTTTAATACAAAGAAAACAAATTAATGGCAAAATTTGCTTTTTGAAGATCAACAAATTAAATTCCTGAGTAGTTTGCCATAGAGATAAATAAAAAGAAGAAAAAGAAAGATGGAACAATTAAAATGAGGCTAACAAATGCCTGGACCCAGCTGTCCAAACAGGATTAATGGAGTGCATTAGGGGACAGTGAGTCATGTGGCGCTTTGCAGAACATCCACACGCACTGCATTACACGTTCTGCCCAGTGGCCCTGAATAGATGAAAAGAAATAAGTACGCTAAACAGATTCATAGAGGCTTTTCACGGTGTTAAAAAAGCAAATTTCTAGACTCAAAGAAAAAGCTTTATTTTAGTATTATGGGAAATGCAAACTAGAGAGTTACTTTGTAATTCCTCGATTAACCCTTTAGAATCGAGTCTTTGATTTTAAGAAGATGAAATATAGAGAATTGTCACGAATATCATCCTACTGTATAACGGGATTTTGATTTACTGGCTGCAGAGCTTGTAAGACGAGAATAGAGGGTGTGTTTACCAAGCGAATTCCAGGCTGTGGAGTCTTTCACTTTTCCGTTGCCTCTCACGAGGGCACCCTGACCTTCGGGTGCTCGTTTGCCCCTGGGAATTCGGCCAGCAGCGCCCCGTCACTTACAGCCAAATGAGAAGTGCAGTGGCAGGACAGTCATAGCTTCCCTGTGTGCCTGCGGCTTTCCTCCGGTCGGTGATTGTTCAGTGATGATTACGACTTTACTTGTAAACTGAAAATATGTGGAATCCTGTATAAAATAATTAACTTGGTGTTCGTGAGGGTGTTTTTGTTTTGTTTTGTTTTTTTTAAATTCACCAACTGCTATTGTGCCTGCATGATAGGCACAAACCATAGCTGTAGACTGAAATGCCTGGTGTGACGTGACACGCTCATTAAAGAATCCCTGGGGACTAGCTTCTTCTATCTGAATATGGAAAATTTTGTACTAATTGAAAAATTAGCACTAATTGTACTAAGGGAAAAATGACCAGTAAGTCGATTTTGCCACCAAGGTTTGTGAGAGAAAGTTTGACCATGTATTTTTAATCAAATATAATTAACATAGGTGATAGTTTTGGTATTTAAAGGGAACACAAAGGATCTGCGCTTACGGTTTTTGTTCAGACTCTTCAAAGCCCTTTAAAAGCAATGCCGTGGCCGTGGACGAGTTCCAAAGCACTGTCTCGCCGCCTGTTTAGACTTCAGTTTTGAAGAATCCAACATTTTGGGGGGATTCGATATCTATATTTTTAGTAAACAAGTTCCTGTTTGGTTGAATAGACCCTGGAGGTGCTTAGAAGAGATGGTAAACAAGCAAGGTGAAAATAGAACAGGATCAAGCCTAGTAAATGACGGACATGCCCAGACTCTTCCATCGTGACGTATTTGAACGTTAGCAGTGCATTTTGTAGGAACGGGTTTTGTCCAGCTGCCGGGCGCTGTTTCACACGCTGATCAAAAACAGCCGAGAGATTGACATTCGTTGTGTTCTTTATTTGAAATCTCTTTTAACCAGAAAAATTTTTCTCGAATGTAACTGACAGATTTTGTAATACTTTTACTAATTTTTATTTAAAAATCATTCTTAGTTATTTTTCATCCCGAAGTTCTTTCCCTGACTTGTAAGTTACGCAAGGCCCAAATGCAGAATTTTTAACAGAACAGTGTGCTTATGATGTGAAAACGAAAACACCCTCTCAATCGGTGTGAATCTATTTTTAGTATATTCGCATATTTCCCATCTTGGTCATCTTTGCAGGAGATAAAGCAGATTATTCTCTTTTGTTCCTTGATGAAGGGACCCTGTTTAAAATGCTGTTCTCTCTGGAGAGGTTTTTCTTTGGGGTTTCGTAAATATACTGCTCATCTTTACCCTGGGCTTTCTCCCTCCGGTTCTCAGTGTGAAACAAAAGGAGACGATGGTTTCGAAATGACAAGTGTGAATATCTATCCCTAATTATGACTTCGATGTAGAAATAATTCCGTACTGAAAATTTTCAACAACAACAAAAATTTGTATATGATTTAATAATGTCCAGTTATTTGGCAGAAAGTAATAATTGAGTGGTGCTAATTAACTTGTGATCAATTACTAATGTTTTCATGTCTGAACAATATGTATACCTCGTTCGGATTTTTAATAAGGAAAAAGTATTCTGAGTCAAACGTCTGAGAGTTTAGAGAGTTAACTGATGCTCACCCCCTAAACGTCTGACACTGCTGTTGCAGGGCTCAGCCTCGTCTGAGAAGATGTCACAGCCACATCGTCTACACAACTTTGCTATTTGTTGGCAGACATTCAGATACCTTAAATTTTAGTTGGTTATAAAATATTTTTCACATGAAAATAATTCCAGTTAGGATCATTTATCTGGAAGCCTTAAGATGTAATTAAAAAATGTTAACAATTAAAATGTTATAATTAAAACTAGATAGCAAACTATAGGAAGGGTCCGATTGGCACTGAGACGCAAGACCCCTAACCTGGCCGAGAGCGTGAGTGGGGCGCCTGCACGCAGTCGGCTCCGAGGCCCCTGAGCAGGTCGCCGGGCCCCTCCCGGACAGCGGCCAGCAGCGGTGGCGAGACCAGACGTCCTGGGCTGCTCTCGCCACCGTGGGAAAGGGCCGATTTTCACCGTCAACGGATGTTAGCCGTGGTTTTCGTTTGCCCTGGGAGATGCCTTGTACCAGGTTGAGGAAATTTCCTTCTTTTCCTACTTTGCTGGAATCTTTTTTAAAAATCAAGAATGGATGTTGGATTTCGTTAAATGCTTTCTCTGCATGTATTGACGTAATCAAGTGGCTGTTCCTTTTTGTTCTGTTAACGTGCGGAATTACACTGAGTCTTTCTTGAATGTTCAACCAATCTTGCATTCCTGGGGTGAACCCCACTTGGCCATGACGTAGGACCCTTTTTTTTTTTCATATCGTTAGGTCCAATTCGATGAAATTTAGCTCAGGAGTTTTACATCTGTATCTGTGACTGTTGATCTGCGGTTCTCTTTCCTTGTTAAACCTTTTTTCTGGTTTTGATTTGCGGGTAATGCTACCTTCATTGACAGTATCCAGAAGTATTTCCTCCTCTTCAGTTTTCTGGGTGACTTTTATAGACTAAATGTTTGCGTCCCCCCCCCCCGAGTCATATGTTGAAACCTAATCCCCAGTGTGATGGTGTCAGAACTTGGGGTCTTTGGGAGGTGACTGGGTCATGGGGGGGTGAGCCCCCATGATGGGATTTGTGCTCTTAAGAAAGTGGTCCCCGGGAGCACCCTCGCCCTTTGTGACTTGTGTGGTTACAATGTAACAACAACCATCTATGAACCAGGAAGCGAAGGCTCACCAGACACCAGATCTCCCAGAGCGTTGATCTTGGACTTCCAGCCCCTAGAACGATGAGAAATCACTGTGTTGTTTCTAAGCCACCAGCCCATGATACTCTGTTACCGCAGCCCTACCGGGCTGAGACAGTGAGTTTTCAAAGAATCGATTTTCTTCCTTTAATGTTCGGCGTAGGTCATCAGTGAAGCCATCGAGGCCTGGGATTCACTTTGTAGAACCGTTTGAGCAACAAATTTAATTTCTTTTATAGATAGAGGACGACTCAGCTTACCTGTTTCTTCTTGAGTGAACTTCGTTAGTGTCTTTTAAAGAATTTGTGTATTTCATCTGTATCGTCAAGTTTATTGGCTTAAATTTCCCT